TGGGTTATTAAATATATGTGTCTTGGTAAAGTTTTTGGGGTCTTCCATGTAGAGTATCATATCATTTGCGAATAATAATTTCACTTCTTCCTTTCCTATCGTTATTCCTTTTATTTCTCTCTCTTGTCTAATTGCTCTGGTTAAGATTTCCAGAACTATATTAAATAGGAGTGGTGACAGTGGACATCCTTGTCTGTTCCTGATTTTCAAGTGAAAGCTTTCATTTTTTGTCCATTTAGTATGATGTTGTCTGTTGGTTTGTCATAGATAAATTGTATCAAATTGAGATAAAGACCATCTATTCCTATTTTCTGTAGGGTTTTTATCATGAATGAGTGTTGGACTTTATCAAAAACTTTTCTGCATCTACTGAGATGATCATGTGATTTTTGTTTTTGACTCTATTGATATCCTTACATTAATTGATTTGCATATATTGCACCATCCCTGCATTCCTTGGATGGATCCCACTTGGACATGATGCATAATCTTCTTGATGGTTTGTTGCATCCTGTTTGATAGTATTTTATTGAGAATTTCTGCATCTATGTTCATGAGGGAGATGGGTCTGTAGTTGTCTTTTTTGGTTGGATCTCTCTCTGGTTTTGGTATCAGGGCAATATATCCCTCCAGGAATGTGTTAGAGAGAATTCCTTCCCTTTCAATTTCACTAAAGAGTTTGAGAAGAATTGGCATTAAATCTTCCCTAAATTTCTTGTAGAATTCATCTGTGAATTTATCAGGACCTCGAGTTTTCTTTGTTGGTAAGTTTTTTATTACATTTTCTATTTCACTGGATGATATTATGTTACTTAGGATTTTTATATCTTCTTGATTAAGCTTTAGTAATGCATATGTACCTAGGAATCTGTCCATTTCCTCTGTGTTTTCCATCCTATGACAGTAAAGATTTTCAAGGTAGATATTGATTATCTTCTGAATTTCTACAGCATTTCTAGTGATTTTATCCTTTTCATTCCTTATTCCATGAATTTGAGTTTTTCATTCTTTTATTTGATAAGATTGGCTAGAGGTTTATCAATTTTTTTATTCTTTCAAAGAACCAACTTTTTGATTCATTAATTCTTTATATTTTTTGTTAGTCTCCATGCATGAATTTATGCTCTGATCTTTATAATTTCCTCCCCTCTTTGGGCTTTGAATTTGACTTGCTCTTCTTTTTCTAAAAGCTTGGGGTGCAGCATCAGGTTGCTTATTTGTGCTCCTTCTGTTTTCTTGATGTGGGAGTTCACTGCTATAAATTTCCCTGTGAGGACTCCTTTTGCTGCATCCCACAGGTTCTGGTAATTTCTATCTGCATTTCTGTTTGAATGTAAATAGCTTGCTTTCATCTTTAATTTCGTCTGTAACCCACTGATTTTTCAGGAGGTTGTTATTTAATTTCCATGTGTTTCTGGAGTTGTTTCAGTTTCTTGTGTGAATAATTTCCAGTTTCATTGTACAATGGCCTGATAATGTGCATGGGATAATTTCAATTCAATTGCATTTATTTAAGCATGTTGTATGTGCTAGAATATGGTCTATTTTAGAGAATGTCCCATGTGCTGCTGAGAACAATGTGTGTTCTGAATGTTGTTGTGTGTAACCCTCTGTAGAGGTTTACTAAGTCCATTTGTTCACAAGTTTGCTTCAGTTGTGTTATTTCTTTGCTGAGATTTTGTATAGTTGAACTCTCTGTAACAATGGGGTTGTATAATCCCCTGTTATGATTGTTACTATGTGTTTGATTTTTGATGTCTGTTAAATTTTGTCTTATATAGTTGGGTTCTCCTGTATTTTAAGCATAAATATTTATGATTGTTTTCTCTTCCCCTTGCAGCTTTCACCTAACAAGATTGCAGTGGCCTTCTTTATCTCTTTTGAGCATTCTTGTTTTGAAGTTCACATTGTCTGCAAACATAATGGCTACCCATGCTTTTTTCTGGGTTGTTGTCACATGGAGGATTGTTTTGCATCCTTTAACTTTCAGTCTGTGACTGTGAAATGATAGGAAACCACTGAAGAGTAAAGGGCTTTTGGGATGTGGGAAAAGAGAAGGGAAAGAAGGAGAAATTTTGTATGCATGTATATACAGGATAGATAACATGGTTGTTCTGTCTTCTATTTCTATGCTGAAAGAAACTGTCAATGAGTCTTTGGTTGACCAGTATTGCATGTCTATATCTGTTTTCATGAGAAGCCACTTTGAAGATATCAATATGTAATACAACCACCATTGTTAATTCCCTACCACTTTGTTTGTAACACTGTATTGTCTGTGTTGTGCTTGTGATATGTTGTAAAATGTCGTATGTCTGTTAATGTTTCCCTCCTTTTATCTTTAAAATAAAAAAAATTTCAGTCTGTGAATTTCCTTTTGAGTTAAATGTGTTTCTTATGTACAGCATATTGTTGGATTTTGCTTCTTGATCCCCTCTGCCAGTCTGCTTCTTTGATTGGTGAATTGAGACCATTTACATTGATGGTTATAACTGATATGTATTGGCTTATCTTTCTCATGTTATCCTCCTGCTTTTGGTTCCCTATATTTCCTCTCTGTTTAATTGCTTGTTCAGCTTGGTGGATCCTTTCTATTGTTTTTCTAGAAATTGTGGTCATTTTTATCTCTTTCTAGACAAAAATTTGTGGGGTTGGTTTAGCTCTCATAAATTTCTTCACTTGTTCTTTGTCATAGAAGTATTTCATTTCTCTTTTAATTTTGAAGGACAGTTTTGAAGGATACATCAACCTGAGTTGGAATTGTGCTTTTTTTGAGAACCTGAAATACTTCACTCTAAGCTCTTCTTGACATGATGGTTTGTGTTGAGAATTCTACCGTGATTCTGATGGGCTTTCCTTTATACATGATCTGTTCCTTCTCTCTAACAGCTTTAATATTCTGTTCTTTTGTTGAATTTCCAGGAAATTCTTGGTCACTATCAGTCTGGCTGTAGATTTATTTTGGTTATGGCTAATTAGAGTTCTATATGCCTCACTTAACTATATGTCAGATTCTTTTTCCATGCTTAGGTAATTTTCTGCTATTGCTTCTGCAAATAGTCTTCTTATGTCATTTGTGTTGATTCCTGCTGTTTCATTGACACCTATCAGTGTTATATTGTTTTTCTTTGCATCATCTTGTAGCTGTTGAATTGTTATTTCCTAATACCTTGTTATTTTTAACAGATCTTCCCTTTAGCAATCATTAGCTGCAATGCTGTCATCAAGGTCTGACAGTCTATTTTCATTTTCATTGAAGTGGTTTTGGCAAACCAAAAGTGGTTTTGCCAGCTTTTGATGGAATTTTTAATTTCCTGAATATCTCTTTGAATCTGTTTCATGCATTCTAATTTTTTCCTATATTATCCATTCAATGTTTCCATCATTTTTCTATGCTCCTTATTTTTTATGTATGTCTTCTTTAGATATGCTGAACAATTCTTTCATTCCTGTTGTCATTTCATTTTTTATCTGAGAGATTATTTCTGATCTGATGTCTTCTATGGCCTGATGGAGTTGTTTCATTACTTCAGATGCTATCTTTTCAGAAATTTCAGGTATGTGACTTTCAAGCTCTTCTATGTTGATGTCTCCTGGACTTTTTCTGGGTGGGCTGGAGGTCTGAGGTTTCATTTTACTCCTTCACTTTGTCATTTTCAAAGACCTAGAAGTTCCCTAAAGCTCAGTGTTGCTCCCATGATGGTGGAGCATGTGGGATACAGAGTCACTTCCCTCCCACATAACTCACCAATACTTCTGAACTTCCCTGCAGCTCTGCATCACTCCTGTGATGGTTGAGTGGGATGGAGTGCAGTCTCTCTCCTCCCAGGCAGATCACCAAAGGTCCCAAATTTCCCAGGAACTCAGTGTTACTCCTAAGATGGTGGAGTCTGGGCGGAGTGCAGTCTCTCCCCTCCCAGACAGATCACCAAAGGTCCCAAGTTTCTCTGGGTCTTAGCATCACTCCTGAGATGGGGTGGGGCACAGTTCGCTGAGACTCCCAAAGCTTTCTGGGGCCCACTCTTTCTCCTGTGACAGTAGGGGAGGGCAGTGCATGGCTTACCAAGGTTCCTGAAGTTCTGCAGGGCTCTGCCTGACTCCTGCAACAATGGGAGAGGCAGGATGTGGCTCATCAGTATTTACTTTTAAAAATATTTTATGAAAGAACCCAGAGCCAAGTGTGGTGGCCCATGCCTGTAATCCCAGCACTCACGAGGCTGAGGCAAGAGGATCATTGTGAATTTCAGACCAGCCTGGGCTACAAAGTGATCTCAAGACCAACCTGAACTGCACAGCACGACCCTGTCTCAAAAAGACTAAAAAAAACCCAGAGAATGAATCATAAACAGAGTACAAAATTGGCATATACTATGCACTGATCAAATAGTGATTTGTTGTCTATATATTATAATAACAAAAGAGGACTTTTATGTAAATGAAATAAAATAATTAAATACCATATCTATTAATAATTCTAATCTTTTGTTGTCATTATGCAACATCAGCCTTGTGTATGTTATCAACCTTCTTGTTATAATCACCATAATGCACTAAAATAGAAAGAGTAAAAAACCAGAATCAGACTTAATTGCTTTTAACCAAGTATTTACATATTATGCCACAGTGTCACAAATCTTCCACAAAGAACTAATGTGAGGAACAATTAGGAACATTGTAGATGATCATTGAATATTTCTGTTCTCATCCACATACCTCATTGCATGCCTGCCTCACTGGGTAGAATTGCTCAGGCCCAGATTATGACATCATAGGCATCAGTTTATGATGGTAACATTCTGGTTTGGGGAATAAGGAGCATGTCATGATATTCAGCTGTTAGTAATGGTTATCTTACTGAGATCAGGTAAGAAAGTAAAGCAGGACTTCTCATTCCACAGACTGACAAAGAAGTGAAACATCTTTTTCATTACATTTCAACTCAAGAATCACTCACATAATGAAAACAAGGTTGACAAGAGCATCATGATTAGTGATCATAGTCATGGTAGGGAGAATGTTTTACCACTGCTGAAAAGTTTACCCAAGGCATACTTCATGTCTCTGTTCCTCAAACTATAGATGAATGGATTTAGCATAGGAATAATTACATTATAGAGAATAGAAGCCCTACTTTCTCTCTCTGTGGAGTGAGTTGATGGAGGAAGTAAATACACACACATTAGTGACCCATAAAAGAGCAGAACCACTGTAAGATGAGAACCACAGGTAGAGAAGGCTTTCCATCGCCCACCGTGAGATGAGATGCTAAACACAGCCCAGGAAATATGGACATAGGAGAAGACAATCAGCATGAGAGGCACAGTGAGGAACATCAAGCCCATGATGATGATCATCAGCTCGTTAATGTGGGTATCAGAGCAGGCAAGCTTCAGCAGAGCCCTAGGATCACAGTAATAGTGGTGGATTATGATGGGGGCACAGAAAACCACACGGGTCAGCAACAGTGTGTGCACTAGGGCAGGACAGTTGGTTAGCAACCAACATGTACCCAGCAATAGTGCACAGAGTTGAGGACTGAGGACCAAGCTGTAATGAAGTGGCTGGCAGATGGCCCCAAAGCGGTCATATGCCATCACAGCCAGGAGGCAGTTGTCAAGACCACCAAACACAAGCAGAAAATAGAGCTGTGTAAGGCACCCAGAATAGGAGATGGTCTGACTCTGGGTATGAATGTTGAGCAGCATCTTGGGGATTGAAGCTGAACTGAAGCAGGCATCAGTTAATGATAGATTGGCCAGAAAGAAGTACATAGGAGAATGGAGGTGTGAGTCAGAGCAGATGGCCAGAATAATGAGCAGGTTTCCCACCATGGTGACCAGGTACATGCCCAGGAGGGCGCCAAAGAGAAGAAGCTGTTCCTCTAGCTTCTCAGAGAGTCCTAGCAGGAGGAAGTCTGAGGCAGGGGTTTGGTTCAGTTGGTTTGGTTTCCCCATCTTTTGTAGTTCTTATTATCTGTGCAAATAAAATCTCTGTATATGTCAATATATAAATATTGGATCAAATTATAGATATATATCCTCATGGCCAGGACTATATCAGTAGGGGAGATACATAACCTAAATCCATAAGAACCTCTGGAACTCATTGAAGGTGCAAGAAAATGCCCAGGAGAACAGTTACAGAACAGTTAAAATTATATACAATAAGACAAATAATATGAACAAGTATGGAAAAGGGGTGGGAAAACTGATGGAGAACAGGGTGCACACAACAAAAACAAACTGTAATATGTACATGTAACCACTTCAAAGACGATTGTAAAGTGCATTAATTGAAAATATTTCATAATAATATTTTTAATGTATTGTAATAAATAATAGCAGTGGATTTTATTTATTCAAACAAATTTGTGCTCTCTATACTATAACAGCATACAAAGAAAAGACATCACTTCGACCAGAGAGGTCAGGGTAAAATATTCAGAGAAGAGAAAATTTAGCATAGACTCCATGGCAAGATTCAAAAAGTGGCTTATGAGTATGCGTTAAAAAATGCTGCATGATCTTCATCACTACCTTCCCCTGGCTCCCAACACACACCCACCACAACTTGTGGCCTCCAATATAAGGGCTGAAAATGTCTTTGAAGACAGGTTGCTCTTCACCTGTCTCCTGATACCCATAGTTTTGTCATCCACTCAGAACAGTCCTGACCTTTTCTCTAACTGGGAGCACAGCTCATGTGGGCTGAGGACTTGGGTGTCTGCTGCATCTCACTCTCCCATCCACTTTTAGGATGTCACCTCCACAAACAGGACATTCCACCTCCTGTATGCTTTATACTTGTCCTCTTCAATTTTTGACTTCTCTTTTAAAAACTGCTCTGGGAACAGATACTTAGACCCTCTGTCTTGATACCTGTGCTTGTACTGCATGTTTCTGATATTTCATTTTTATCAGAAGAACAGAAAGTAAAAGACAATGCTCAGCTTTCTAAGCTGAAAATAAGCACTGATTATCTCTCCTACGATGTAGAACAAACTGGCATGAGAGGCCATCTCATACCACTCTTTGGAAGATCTCCGAGTATTTTAGTTGTTCAGTTGTTCTTAAAACTTTGAGAGGCTTCCGACCTTAAGCAGAGACTCAGTGTACATGGCCTACAATGTTCACCTGATAATTTATCTGGGAAGAGGTGTGTGTGTGTGTGTGTGTGTGTGTGTTTAGGCTCAAGTGTGTGTGCAAGCATGTGTTTTACCCCTAAGACATCCTCACCTCTCAGGGTATCTATCAAATTCAGGCATCTTCAAATTCTCCAATTCTCTCCTCTAGATGGAAATTTCTCAGTAATACACTCTGAGGTTTTCCTAAGTCAGAGTCAGTAACCTTGGATTCTACTGGCCTGCCCTCCTTAGGAACACCCAGGTATATGGCTCACTTTCAGTGTCCCCAGGCTGGAGAAGACAAGAATATTCTTAGAGCTATAAAAGCTCCTGATACACCATCTCCCAAAGTGCTCGTTAGAGCCAACCTTAGTATAACCATGCAGCCTTTGCTCTAGCCAACTCTGGCTGGGTCCTGGGGGACCTGGAGCATCTCTTCCCCAGAGGTGAGCTCTCAGATGTGGATGTTAGGAGTGTGACTTTGAATCTTTTGCTGGAATGTAATGCCCTTCAGCCTGTCCAGCAAGTGTCCTGGGAACACCTACCTTTGCACTGGGCGATTCAGTTCCCATTCTGTGTCTTAGGAAAAGTAGAATGAAGAAGAAATCAAGAGATGGTTGTGATATAACTGATTCTGATATCCCTAAACAGAGAAATCCTAATATGAAGTAAGGCCCTCAAAAAATGAAAAGTCTGAAACGAGGCAGGATATATCAAGTTCATCTGCCATTATGGCTCATACATAGTGTCTGCTAACAAAGATATGCTATGTCTCATATATGTATTAATGCTAATTAATTCATCTTGAACATTTCCAGTACATGACCACAAGTCATTCAACAAGCATAGGATGTGGGAACTATTGTTATACCATTTTATAGGCAGGCAACTAATACTTAAGATACTAATATTAAAACAAAGATAATGAGTTCACTATGGTCCAAAGAACTATTAAAAAGAATCAAGGAAAATTTTACCCTTGCCTGCACAACTCTCAAGACCATTCTTTTAGCCATTATAATTCATCTTAGTGTTATTGCATGTTGTTAGGTTTATGCTCAAATCATTAACAATTTCACAAGATTAAAATAAACTTTTAAAAATTTACATTTTTTTACTCATAATATTGTACATTTTTGTTAGTTGATTTGAGGGGATTGTTTTCTTTATGAATCTGGATATCAAACCCATGGTCTTGTATATGCTAGGAAAATGTTCCACCAATGAACTGTAACCCCAACATGTTTAATAGGACTTTTAGTTATGCATAATTATTCCTCAAATGTCTTATTTATATATTTGTTACTTTGCTACTGAAGTGTTTTGTTTTATTTTGGATATTTATTTCTTTCTGTTGGGGTCATTCTGTTACATGTAGACTTTGTTTTTAAATGGTACTGAGGGTCATATCCAGGGCCTCACACTAGCTAGACAAGTGCTCTACCACTGAGCCTTATCCCCAGCCCTTTTTGCTTTATTTTGAGACATGATCTCACTAAGTTACCTCAAATTTGCAAGCCTTCTGCCTCAGCCTCCTGAGTAGCTGCAGCTACAAGCATGTGCCACCATCCTCAATTACATATACAATTTGAAAAAAAAAAAAATTGTAGTCACAGTTGACAAACACTTTCCTTTGTGACTTTTCCCCCATAATTTTATACTCAAATGATTTGTGGAGGGAAATTTCACAAGATTAAAATAAACTTTTAAAAATTTACATTTTTTTACTCATAATAATTTCCCTTCACAAATCATGGTAATGCCACTTAGCTGTTTCTTCTAGCAATAGCTAAATACTATTATACTATTTCTTCTAGAAATAGCTAAATACTACATTTATATCTTTAGTATACTGCAATTATTTTACCACATACTGGGATGAAAGAATCCAGCTATACCTCTAATTTCTACACATCACTACCTAAAGCAGTACTGTCTATTAATAACTGGTACATTCTCCACTTGTTTTTTAGGTCTGAGCACCAGTAGGAAGTCTTTTCACAATCTTGGGGTAGTTCACACTAATGCAACAGAATTCTGTAAGTGATCTCCTTGAGAGAAAATGTTCTAATAGGCAAAATGAAAAGAGCATAACTTTATTTTTTTTAAGACAGGGTCTCACGATGCAGTTCAGGCTGGACTTGAGCTCACTTTGTAGCCCAGGCTGGTCTCGAACTCTCAACAATCCTCACGCCTCAGCCTCCCCAGTGCTGGGATTACAGGTGTGCACCATCACACGTGGCTTGACTTTATATACTTTTGAAATAGTTGATAGAAATCCTAGAATCTCACATTTACTATCTTTCTAGGTCAAACAAATCACTAAGTTCAAGTCCATGACTAAGGGAGGGAAATTAAGCTCAATTAACCAATAGAAACACTAGGAAATTTTTGTGGGCTCCCTTTAATTTACCACAGCCTGCACTCTTCCCACAAGTAATTTTCTTTGCTCACATATGCAAGATACAATCACTGCTTCCCAAGAGCCTCAGAATCTTATCCCATTGCAAATTCAAGAAAACAGACAAGATCTTGTCATAAATGAGGTCTGGGTGAAAATACACTTCCGTAAATACAGTTCCTTGTGTACTCCTCTTCTGTTCCTCTTAATCTGAAGGCCTGAGAATATAGGAGCACCTCCCATGACATGTAAAAGGGACACAATGTTGACATGGTATGAGTACAACCAATATTTCCAATTCCCAAGGTGAGGTGAGCAGTTAGAAAGGCTTAATGGACAGGAAGCACAAAACTGTGCTGCATTTATTCTGACTGCTGCTAATATTGCAGCCATAGGAATATGGTAGTCACCCCCTCCATCAATTTTTTTCCAGTTTCAGTTACCTGTATGAACCCAATGAAAAATAGCAATTGGAAATTTCATAAAGAATTAATGAATTTTTTATGGTAGATTACAGTGAGAGAATCAAATCTCTCTATTCTAGCCATAAAGAATGATAAATGTGTATTATCTATAGAAAGAGGGGTGAAACAACACCTTAATACTAAGTGAAATGTATCAGACACAGAAAGCTAAATATCAATGGTTTCTCTAATATGAGAAAACAGAATATAATTTAAAGAGCTAAATAAAAGAGTCATAATAGGAAAGAGGGACGTAGATTCTGTGGAAATAGGAAGAAAATCTCCAAAAGGTGAGAGGGGAGGACAGGAGGAAAAAGAGAAGTAAACATGATCAAGGTGAGATAGGTATGAGTACGAATTACCTGAGAGGATTTTCACTGTTGTGTATTGCAAACACATACTAATTTCATAAAAGCTCTCTTTGTAAGCACATCTTTATACCTTCTATACTTTTGATCCTCTACTCAAGTACATTGTGGTAGTATCTCTTGCTCTATCTTTTGCTTTTTCTTTCTTTAAAAGGGTTTCTCATCCTTCATCCTCTCTGTGGTTCCAGAAATCACTATGGATCTCTGAGGCAACAATGCAGTGCTTCCAGAAAGTTGGGGAAACCTCTCCCTCTGTCACCCAAGATGACAATCTCCCATTACTTACCTCTGATGCCTGTCCATCTGCTATGTAACTCAACAGGTATGAGCTGGCTTGAACATGTTAAAAACAATACTCCAAAAGTATGACCTGCCAGCCTGCAACTGTTCAGCTCAAGCCTTTTTCCTTTCCACTACCCTAGTTACTGGGAAGGAAGTTGGAGGAAAAGGCTCAGATTCTCCCTACCAGTCTTTGTGATGGGATTAACTGGAATGAGAATTCAGGGTCAAGAATAATAAATAAAAATAGCAATCAATCAGAAGCAAATCTTAGATTGCTAAACCAAAATTACAAACAAGCTTAGAACAAAGTTAGAGAAACAGATAAGGATTCCAAATGGAGAGCCCAGGAAAT